AGCCCGGGGAGACACTGGGCAAGGCCGTGGAGGACCTGGGGCCGGACCCGCAGTGCTTCCAGATCAGCTGGAAGCGCCGTGGGTCCGGCCCGGGTCCTCCGCCACTTTGCTCAGCGTCTCCCTGGTCTGCTGGCTCCCCCAGGGAGACGGGGAGCAGTTTTTCTCGCCCCGGAGGAGGCGGGTGGCGGGACCAGGCGTCCCGCCGCTCCAGTCCTCCGGGGTGAGAAAATCCCCGTTCGTAACTGCAGATCCGACATAAGTCGGATCCGCGTAACTCGGGGACTGCCTGTACAATTATTTATGGAGCAGTCCTATATAATTCTGTATGGATTATAAAATATTTTACAGAAATTTAAGAAAATATGTGGAAATTGCAATAAAAATGACATAGTTTACAGAAAACTATATTTTCTATAGATTTTTAAACCATCCCATAGCAGGAATAACATTTTTAATTCCATTCTAAATGTAGAAGAGTTCAAAAGATTTATTAAAAGCTTTGCATTTTCTTTTTGTTTGATGGGAATTTTCCATCGGGGCTGTACTCAGACTTCAAGCTCTGGAGATACACTTTGTTAACAAATGGAATTGCAAAAAGATGTTGCACTGCAGCATGGTACCCCAATGTTTCATTGCAAAACAGGCCTCATAACAGAATCACAGCAACAATATAATATATCGGTGCTGCCAACCCAGTGCCCCATGTCCTGTAACCCAGTCCTGGGCCATGACCCTAACTTTGGGAATCACAGTAATATACTGACTCACCATCAAAATACAAGTGTCAGGATACTGGATAGCAATAGCATTATGGCTTTCTGGAACTTCACCCCATGCAATCACCTCTGGTTCCTTCTATTCCTCCTGGGAGTCCCAGCAACTTACAACTCTACCAGTACTCAGTATTCTCCAGCTTTCTTAACAGAGGTGGGCAGATGTGACTAATTTAGCCCGCAGACTGGAAGTTGTTTTGGGAACTCCAGTCAGATCTGAAAAATCTATGAAAGCCCCAGGATGACCATCTGCAGTCTAATAAATCCACAACTGGCAGGAATGTAAATTTAATTTCTGGGTCACAAAATCATGACTGACTGATACAAGGGCTTAATATTAACAAAATAGCTTTAGATCCTGACCCTGCAATCACTTGAGGTCATGCATGACTCTATGTATGGCTACGTCTACACTACAGGGTTTTTGCGCAAAACCAGCTGTTTTTGCGCAAAAACCCGTGGAGTGTCCATACCTCAAGCGCGTTTTTGCGCAAGAAAATTTACAGTAGAACGGCAGAACAGAGGGCTTTTTGTGGTACAGATATACCTCTTTTTACGAGGAATAATTCCTTTTTGCACAGGAGCACAGGTGCTCTGCTGTCCATTCTGTTAATAGCAATCAGAGCTTTCTTGCGCAAGAGCATCCATGCAGTATGGACACTCTCTCGCGGAAAAGTGCATCACTTTTGCGATGTGCTTTTGTAGTGTGGACATGATTTTGTGCAACAAGTTTTAGCGGAAGATCTCTTCCATAAAAAGCTTCTTGCGCAAAAAGCCTGCAGCGTAGATGTAGCCTATCTGAGCAGCCCCATTGACCTCAATGGAACTATTCGCATGCCTAAAATTAAGCACACACGTAAGTGTTTACAGGATCAGGGCCTTGGTGTGGTACATACATATAACTTTAATATGAATACACAGCATGCATAGGCATTTGACAATCCAAATCAGCTAATAATATCATTTGTGGCCAGTTATATACAGCCAAGCTGTGCAGCATATAGTAATATGGAACCAGAATGGCATACAGTTTCCATTATAAGCCTTATTTTTTCTCTCTCTTTTTGCTGCTCTTTTAGTTTTGGATTGTACATTTTGTTTGGCTAGAAAATATCAGGTTAATTCTAAAGGCTAAGGAGATTGAATCATTTAGTGGTGCAATTGGAAGAAAATTGGTAAAATTGCCATGATTGGGAATTCTGACTTTCGTCCCCTGTGGAATATGTATTTGGGTCCCTTTACCTCACATGGCGTAATTTGCCAGAACAGTGAGGCTTATGGCAAAAGGACTTCTAAATATGCAAGATTTTCTTCTGGAAAATCGTCATGGCTATGCGCCAGTCAAGATCAGCTTTCAGATTAGTTAAATCATACTTTCAGCAGATGTAAATCAGCACAGGACCATTGTAATGAATAGGTCTATGCCATTTGCAACAGCTAAAGATCTGAAACTTTGATTTTTTTTTTAAAGACTGGAAAGGCAGTGCAGCAGGTTGGATTTCATGTGAAAGAATAAACCTTTCCTACCAAACTTGGTTTTATTTCCCTGTAGAATTATATTAGTTCTTGTAACGTAATGATCATGACTCAATGGAAGGAAAACAACTGTGAATTCTTTGGTTTCCGCTAACTACAGTATATAAATATATTAAATAGCAGAGAGGGGAAAAGGTAAGATTGATTGAGACAAAGCAGATGTTCCTAATATCTGGTTTTCCAGTTAGGGGAGATTTATGTATTTTTATATCTGTCTATCTCTTTAGATGAGGATTTTTATTAACAAAACTGGAAGAGTACCAACATGTTCCACAACTCGCCTCGCTCCACCAGGGAGAAGAGATTGACTCTTGGACTTATCAGTCCTTTACTGCCCAGTGGATTCTAAGGGTGCATCTACACAGCAGGGCTTAACTCGAAATAAACTATGCAAACTGAGCTACATCAATTGCATAGGTTATTTCAAAATAGTTTCTTTAGAAATATGGAGCATCTACACAGCACTAATTTCAAAATAGAGCACCCTTCCTCCAACTTTCCTTACTTCTCCTACAATGAGGGTTACAGAAGTCAGAGTAAGAAGTCCTCCAGCTTGACAATATTTTGAAATAACTGACAGCTGTGTAGACACGGATTAAGTTATTTTGAAATAACGCTAGTTATTTCGAAATAATGTTGCTGTGTAGATGTACCCAAAGTGCTGCCAAGCGACAGTGGGTCTCAGTAGCTTGCCCTGTCATTCTCTACATCAGGACTGCATCAAGGGTCATATTACTCCAAAGAAAACAGCTGCGGGCCTCAAGCAGGGATGCTCTCCCAAAAAATACCAGTTATTTTACACGGCTAAAAATTTTTGTTGAGAAAACAAAACAAAACAAAAAAAAACCCAAAAATCCACCACCCTGCCTTTTGCTGTCTTCCACTTTCTCCTGACCTGCTCCCCTCCCCCACCTGGCTTCTGCCTTTTTGAATCTGGTGGTCGCTGGCTGTGATGTCACGATGTCATCCTGGCATCTGCCTGCGTCCTGCCCTCTGGCTCATGCTCCGCCTCCTTCCCCGCCTCCTTGCGCCAGAGCTGCACGCAGGCAGCCTGGCGGTGAAAATCGTCATGCTTCCCCCTCTCCAGCCGGCGGATCGGATGGGGCCACGCCACCCGTAGTTGTCATGGGCTGCACAGTGAGCCCCTGCAGGCCGCATGCAGGCCGTGAGCCATATGTCATGCAGGCCTGCTCTACATAGTAAACAAGGTTGGCAGAGATCCAGGATATTCTGTAAGAGTTTCTTAGGCAGGCCCCATAAGCCCAACTGAACAGGCAGAGAGAGGGAGAAAGTTAGAGAGAGAAATTGAAACTAAGATGTTCAAAATACTTTTTAAAAGGACTTCAATGGCATTTCTCTATATAGCAATGTCATATTGTTAAAGTCCTATATATCAAGCGCTGAATATCACATTTGTATGTGTGTCCTTTTTCAATGTTATAAAGCTTCAATTTCTAGCACAGCAGGGACACGTCCATGAATGATATTTATATGGCCAGAAGCACAGAGAGTAAGCACCATGGCCAAGGCAGCACAG